GTCACTTTTCCCCCATGAGGGCCTGCTTTGCTCATTTTAGGCTTGGGGTTCGTATCTGCAGTTTTTTGCTATACAAACGTTACCACTAGGGTGATAAGCAAGGTACTTGACGTTTATTGGGATTCTACTGCGGAGCTATACCTTGAGGATAACGTGCCGTTCATTCAGAATCCGGTCTGAACTTCCATCATCCTTCTGTCATGTTACAGTACTATAGTGATGGCTTGATTCACCTTCGGAAGTGCAGTTGTTAGCCCATCAGTGCACTAAGCTGGTGACAACCTTGATATCTCAGTTCAATCCGTATTGTCCATGTCTGTGTTTGGAACCATTTCTGTGTGTACAGTCTTGTTCGCTGTGAATTCGAGCTGGGGCGTGTCAGGGGCTGGCTTTGGCGTGACGCCGACCCATTCTCCATCATCTGAGGAAGCTAGCAAGAGACTAAATTGGAGTAAAAGGACTGGCCTCGCGCCAAACCCAGTCCCCACTTCCCCCACGAAAAGTCTCAGCTTATCCGCACCGAATTAGACTGTAGAGTTTCCCATCTGATTAAGAGGAGTACTGGCAACACTCCCTACCTCCCTACTCAGTCATCATTTTCAACAACTATAAAGCCGAAAAAATAAGGTCAAGTTTTTGTGGAGTTTAGCGTTCTGCCTTAATAAGGTGTCTATTTTATGCTAACTGGATGCCATCTTCTAGTCTGTATACTCTGTCAATCAGAGAAGGAACGGAGCTGATGACGTCCCACGCCTTTGCCCCACTTCAGTACACACCTGGAGAGGTATTTTTTGGTCACCTAGGTCATCTGGCTATCATCAGCGTGGCTTCGGTTATTGAAGTCAAACGGCACAATAAATTGAAAAGGCGTATAGGGGAAATATGCCGAGCAAAGTGACCAAGTATTTGGCTTCCTAAGCAAGCTGTGGGGCCCAACGGGCGTTGAAGTTTATAGCCGAGCAACGCTCATTTCTTAGCTATTTGACGTGGGCGGATAATGATGCGCTCTAGCTTCAGTTCACATAGGTCGTTGATGACGTGAATGCGTCAAGGAAGCCGCTTCCGTCGCGCCGCCGCAACTCAGATCTCCCACCTCGAACTCGTCCGGTGAAATCATATGAGGGACCCTTTTCAAAACCCTCGATCATTATCTGACCAGTCAGCTGTGGTTCACTGCAGGTTGTATCGGACTTAAAACCTGGAAATTTCAGTACCTGTTCACAGTCCTTTTGGTGTTTCTGTGTGCTCGGAGCGCACCTCGTCGGCTAGTCGCTTGACGAGGATCCTTGGCTCGGTGTCTAAAGACGTTGAAGATTAATCGTTTTCAAGAAAGGGCAATCAGGAATGCAATCTCATAAAAACGCTAATGAAGCTATCGCCGACCTAAGTCCGGGATTTCTTTGCCGGTTCTGTCGTCGGCGTGGCCGTTGGCAGGTCACGCAGAAAATTCGTACTGGTTCGCTTGCAACGACATTATTCCTGGAAACGCAAGAGAGATTAAGAGCTGGTCACTTGTAGCTCCTAGCATTTATGGGCAGTTGAACACTGTCTGCTTTCCCTTTTTCAAAACCCAAAGCCATACACCTATCTTCATATTTTCGCCTTGTAAGGGGCAAACTTGCCTAGTGTTTTTCGGGTGGCCCCTTAAACCCGATAACGAGCAACTCGACAAACGCAATATGTGATAAAAAAATATTTGGCGGTTGCGTTGAGCGCCAGAGCAAGATCACAGTAAAGCCCACTGTGGAGACATGGAAGTTTGGCCGCAGCTGCAAGTTGCTTTTCCGAATGCAAATACCAATATCCATTGAGGTTCTCGGCCCGTGCGCTGTAGGCGCCAGCGCTAGGTGATGGTTGTGGTATTGGAATCTGCAGCGGAAGCGCCTGCGTTCTTTGCCCAGAACGGACAGTAGTATGCAGTAGTATTCATGTGGTCAAAATACACCGGGACGATATTTTCAGACAATTTTCCAGGGAATGAAATTCGAAGAAATCGAGTCTTTTTTTAAAGGTGAGGCGGTCAAGGGTAATTGGCGAATAACTTCCTTATAGCACTTGGACAAAGGTTTGGCGCAGATCGGCTCGATGGGAGCTTTTATGGTTCCCATCTGTCACTGCCTATGCCTCCTGTGGAGACTTGTAGAGTGCTATACAGTAGCAGGGACATAGTCTGCAGGTCTCTCCAAGGTAGACGTGTTATTCAGCAGGAACTAGCAAGATTAACTAGTGAAAGGGCAAATCCCCCTTCTAAGCCGAACAGCACCCAAGATTTTTTAATTTCGTGCATGCAAGCTGCACTCTAGTGGTCTCTTCGAAAATCTCATGTGAAGTTATTTTATTCTGATGTTCATAAAGAGACACATCAGGAAAAACCGAAAAATGGCCCACGATATCGTGATTCCCAGCGGAATGTCTACAAAGGTAAACAGTAAGTAACCTGTAATGCAAGCTTGGCCAAGCGGGGCATTGTCCGTTTCGTATGGCGAACGCGGTCGATGGATTGAATTCGCAATGTCCGTTGGAAGGATTGTAGTGAGCGATCTAGAACATTAGTAGTTCAATGACATGTTCAATCCTTATTTCTGAGAGTTATTTCCACTGTTTCTATAAATTTTGTGGAGCAGTTTCGTCACGCGTACCCTTCTTTCGTAAGTTTGAATCAGTGCAGGTCCTGCCACTGGGGAAAAAACTTTCGAAAAATCGGCCCACCCCCCACCCGTAATTCGTGCCTTCTGTTGCGACTCCCTTTCTGCCAAACACTTTCCTAGATTTTTCTAGATTTTCCCAAGTTCCTACCACTGGCACCTTACAGTGAAGAATCTGGACATGTTTGGAACTCAAAGGAGCCATATAAAACGGCATAAAACGGCAATTGGAAGTGTGTGAAGTTTACGTGAGGGTTTCTTAGAAATAAAAGTGGACCTACCGCACAGTTGAATTCGTGGCAAGTTCGGGCGCATTGGTCCACCGTGACGGCGATGGCAAAGTGAGTAAAGGAGAGTCGTGTTGGACCGCTGATGGGTGTTGAGATGTAGAAGATTGACATCGGGCACACTAAAACAATTATTACACTTTAAGGCTCAGTACAGTGCAGATTGGTGCGCGTTAGCAATGTTTTTAGGACGGAGTTGGACCACTCTCTTCCAAAGGAACATCTTAGCGTGAAGAAACTCAAATGAAATAAGTGTCCTCAAGAGGGATACTCTCGTCAAAGGTGACCGAAGAGCTTGTACAATGAGGTATTTGGGTGAGATTCCCTCTTGATCTCCTTCTCACCGGGAACTTAGTCGTGAAAGCAAGGTGCAGAAAACCTTACTCGAGAATGGGCCGTCCTACAACGAAAGGAACGTTTCCCAGACATCCTAAGAACAACTGAATTTCCAACGTTGTTCCCACCTATGAGCTTTCCAAAATGCTCAACTAGAGACCTGAGCTGGTAAATGTGAATAACCCAGTAAAGCTGACCGCTTCATTTAGTTCAGCTCTTTCATTTCTTTATTTTTACTACTTGGGCTCTACTTTCGTGGTGCTTTTCTTCCAAATTAACTACGCTTTATAAGCTATCAAGCTGAACATACCTCCAGTTCGTAGATTTTGTTGGCTCGCGAATGGAAGTTGCGGTGCAGGTGTAGTTGGTGGAGGTGTTTGGAACTGCTGCGGCACTTGTGGTGGTCGTTGATTTTGGAACTGAGGTTGTTGTGGGACTGGTGGTGGGACAAATGGCTGTCGAGATTGGAAAGGCTGCTGGACCTGTGGCGGTTGCCGTGGTGGTTGTGGTGGTTGGAACGGTTGCTGGACGTTGAAGTTCTGTTGCTTGTTGTGGGTTGAAGGTTTGCTGCTGCTGTGTGTTGAAGTTCTGCTGTTGCTGTGTGTTGAAGTTCTGCTGCTGTGTGTTGAAGTTCGGCTGCTGTGGTTGGAATGGTGCAGGTGCAGGTGCGGGTGTTGGAGGTCGACTGGGTGGACGTCTGAACAAAAAAGCATGTACTATCTCACGATATCCACGAGATGGCACCTCCTGTTAGTGAGGTTACTGTTCGCCCTGTAAAGGGAGTAATGTACCTGGTTCTCGGCTGGAGTGGTTGAGGCTGTTGAGGCAGACGTGGTTGTTGAGGTTGTGGGACCTGGGGTTGGGGTTGGATTGGTAGGGGCTGTCTGAAACCGATGAACTTAATATCGGACTTCATGACACAAACTTGATAAGATTATAATTATGGCCGCCTAAAAAGTAGAACGATTTCCGCTATAGACCAAGTATTCATAATGCGGTCAAAGCTCGTCAGATGAGGTGAAGCTGCTCAGTAAAAGAAGTCATCTAACAAACCTTGGAGCCGCAGTGGGAACAACTCGTGGTGGCACAGCTGGAGGAGGTTGACGATTCTGTTGCACCGGCCTTAAGAACATGAATTCAACTGCATTATGCTATATTACTAGAACACATGTTCTTATGGCACTGGAATGACCATGTTTCAGACTTGTTTTGAAAGGCAGCTTTGGTATTCATTGTCAAATGAAAGACAAACTGTGGGACGGTGTCCTCCACGAGCAAGGCGAATGGGTTCGCGCGCAGTAGCGTGCCACTTTCTCCAGTCAAAAGTGCATGGGGAAGAGGCTGGAGGGCAGTGAGATCCGGGTGCCTAGAATCGAGAAGGCGCTGACTAGTTGCGATTGGTTATGGTGAGGCGTGTGACTGGCTGCGCAACAGTGCAGACGTAGCATAAAGACAGTTGCTGGGTACCACTACCTTTAATCCTCATTCGTGTGCATTTCTGAGCTGAAAAAGAGGCACGCTACCGCAGCCGTGCCCATTCTCCTAACCGGCGGCAAGGACTAGAATCCACCCAGGTGAGTGTTCAGTCTGCTCTGAAGGCAGTGGGTACGATGGCGAGGGGCGGGGGAGTTGTTGCCAACGCCACTGGTGGAAGGACTGAAAAAGTTGTGGCCAGACACCGTGTCGCAGCCCTTCCACCAATCATGCTGGCAACAACCGACCGCCTCCAGCAATGGTATACTGCCTTGAGTCAATGTTTATGACATCAAGGTTCGCTACTTTGATGGTCACTACTTCCACGTTTGAGGTTTTTCTTCACATGCGTGAATACTTGTCGTGTCGTAAGGCTTATAGTGAGATTAGGTGATCTGATGGACTTGACAGACAGTTTGAACCAGATCATGGTAAAAAAGCCGATGAGCAGGGACTGGGGGCTGAATTTACTAGATGTCTGTCACTTTTACTTTTTGCCTGATATTTCCTAGAGAAATACTTTCATTGACTTTTACGTATATCCTCTCTACTCAGTTTAGTTTCATTGATTTCAATTAATGCCATTACGACATTCAGAAGTGCGAATTAACTCACTGTATCGGTTGTCGAGGAGTTGGCGTTGTCTGGACGAAGGGGATTGTTTTGATGGTCGTATGTGGGACGGTGACAGGAGGCCTGGAAGCATAGCTCAGCAGATTAAAGCAAACTCAAGTTTTTAACTTGTAATTGAGCCTTATGTACATTGAGTTGAGTTTTCGCTAGTTGCTGAGGGAAAAATCTAAAGCTGCAACGGTAGATGAATTCACTCCCAATCCCGAAAATGCTGCTAAGCTTTGGTAAAAGAACGAATTTTTCAAGTGATGCGTAGGCTGTTCAACAAAATAATTCTATAGAGTTTATGCATTGATCCAAATTTAGTAAATTCTACCCACAAAGGGAGTCTCTTTGCGGACAATCTGCGCTTATGATAGGATCAGAGCGCAAATCATTTTATTGAATTCTGCTCTCTAGACCGCCTCAGAGATAAGGGGACATCAATAGGGAGGGCAAAATAGTTCGGTGTCTCCACCCGTTCTGATTATCGCGGAATGTGTCTTTATGAGATGTCAGTCATGTGCTTCTCTCTGATGACCAATCTCTGTAAGTGCACAACTTTCATTGCAAGTAGGTAACTTGATAGGCAGGCACAGCACGTCATATCGCTGCCAAAACCTCTTGCAAAATACGATCTCGCCCTCAAGATTCCCTCCTCTGTAGCGCGCCTCACCCGTTATTCAACTTACCGACCAACCTCGGCTTTTCCGAATTTGCCCGTCTTTCCATTCCACTCTTCCGCGGTCTCCTTATAATCCCCCACCACTACCCGCCATCAAGTACTGCCGTTGGGCGGAGTCGGGGAAGGGAATTGATACATAGCGCCTAGTGACACACAGGGTGCCAACAACCGAAAAATGACTTCCCCTCGTCGGAAATCCTCGTAGTACAACTCACCCCATAGGTAGGGGTTCCGATGTTACGATGTATGGTGTCAGGGCGAAATTATATGAACAAACTAATACTTTTTGATGGTCATCCAAATATTGGAGAAATGTCTTTAACAATTTTTTCAGAACATCCCATTTTTTTGTGCAGACTAAAGTTCAGATGGAAAACACAACATTGCCCACGATCAATTTTGAAACTTTTTTGGCCAGATAACTTTAAGATACCTGGTTTGAGTTGCTGCTGTCGTTTTTTCTTTGCTGCCGGGCCTATACGGTTTGGGCACGAAGAGGTTCTTTTCTGAAAAGAAAAACATAGCCAAGTGTAAAATTTCGCTATATCTGCTGATCAAGAGCTGGATGGACATTCAATGGTACTGTTGGTTAACTCGAGATACTGGTTATAAACGAACCGTCTTCAGTGTCAATGATCGTATTATCATCATAGGCACCAAATGGCTCGGCTGGATTTGGTATGTTGTCGGCTGAAATTTGTCCGATAAATGTGTGAAATACAGTTTTCGAATGAAGATGTTGTTTTTTTCGATCACCAAATACCGTAGCCGTTCCTGTGAGGGCCCACGCACGGCCTCCAAATGCCTTTGAGGTGTGGGGGACGATCAGTTTTGGGTGGCACAATTTGAGCATCGAGCGGCTAGTTCGTGTGCTCCCAGAAAGGATAGCGCTGCACTTCTTCTGTGGGGTGATTAATTTACCCTTTTCGTAGGTCATGGAATTCTATGACTTGCGTTGATTCCACGCACGGCGGAGGGCCAGCTGGGATAAAATTAAATTGTAACGCAACATAACCCCTATATTTCACTAATACCACGGCCGGCTATAAATGGTAGAGCAACAAGTTACAGTAGGGAAATCACAAAACGCAAGTCTTACGGGACAGTGTAGTTAGACGAGGACACAGGGCACATCGTTGTTGGACCAATCCCAACAGGGAGGGTCGTATTTGGTCGCCGGGAGGGAGGTCGTATTTGCTTCCTGTTTCCATGTGTACTTTCACATGTGCTGTTTACCCCCGCTCGACAGCTCGATGAGGAGGGACAGAGGGCCCGGGGATCGTACGAACCTCTAAAAAAAAGGGGGGGGGTCGCGCAGATTTGATCAAAATCCCCAACCAATGATGTGCCCTGCTAGGACAATAGAACTGATTATAGACTGTAACTGCAGCTTAGGGCTCGGAAAAACTCGAACCATGCCTGATACGACTCCCATCTACCAAATGCGACCCCACCCCTTCCGAGCAACCAGGTATGTGCGATCCCTCCCTCATCCGTGGGGATCCTCATAACGATACTGTGACCTGATCACTACTATTGGAGTAATTATTTTTGGAATACTAAGTAGCTAAAGACTTACGTGCATTATTACCCTCTCCTTCCACCTCGTTGAAGATCTCTCGTCGAACACCGTCTATCGTCCCGACATCTGAAAACGTAATGAACTGAAGTTTTTGCATGAGGCTTCCTACACTGTTGGAAGGCTTGCGCTATTCTCTACCCAAATACAGGCATAAAATCTAGTTGAGGTTACTATGTGAACAAAAATTTGGATTCTAATTGCAC